AAGTACAGTATGATACTTTTATTGAGCCAATAAAGGACTGTGTGCTGAGCATATGCTGTGTCCACCGTAAATATGTCATATCTCATAGGGCTAAACACTGTAATAGAAGAGCATTATTAGAATGAGAACCTGGTTAATAAAGCCCTACCATAATATGGCATACTCTTTCTTGATTGTGCTTTATTTTATAACTGCACTCAAAATAATTCTGAAGGGGAAGAAAAATAGGAGCTCACAAAAAGTAAGCTGATTAAAATATGTATTGCATTTACAAGCTAAACCTTGGCCTTAATGACGATCTGAATTGCTGGGGGCCTGACAGGAGGGGGAAAAGAACAATCACTGAGGTGAAACCATATGCTAGTCAATGGTCCAAACGCTGCTGCTTCATCCTCTGGACTGAGCAGATCCATCAGTTTCCTGCTCCCTGTTTTGGGGGTGACAGAAGGTGGTAAGTCCATGCCACAGTGACCTTCTAGTCCTGCCTTTTCCGTATTCCTGATTTGCTTCCCCACGCCTTCTCTGAAAGCTGAGATCTGGGGAAATTACATACCCCAGCCTTCTAGAACACAAAGGTGAGGAACCTTATTTGCAAACATAGTGATTATTTCAGCTTTTTTTTTTTTTTTCTATTAAGGAAACACATTATGTGACCTTCATTCTTGGCCAGTGTAGATCCTGAGCTTCACATGCATCAAGATTTTTGGAGCATATGTATATAAAGCACCTTTGAAGGTATATTTTTCAAAAAACAGACACTGAGTTTCCTGGTACAGGAAAATGGTAATGATTCTAGCTTAAGACTTTGGCATTTTTAGGGATGGGAGGCTGGGCTGGAGTGGCCCTCTAGCATGGGAAGATGAATAATAGCTAGAGGTAGTTAGATCCTCTGCCATTCTTTTGGACACACTAAACAAACATCTTTGTGGAGCAAGATTTGAACAGTCACTGTGTTTGAACGCATTTCTAATTTTGAGTGATTTTACAACTTCTGAAGTTGACTTAGAGAGACAGGAAACATTTCCAAATACAGTGAAGTCTGTAGAGCAAGTAAACATTTTTAAGCATCCCCTTCAGCTTTTATATGTTGCAGATAATGCCATTTGTATAGCAGAAAATATATGAAACCACTTTGAAAATTGAAGAGTAACAAACTTAGGGAAGTTTTATAGGGCAATTTTACAGCACCAGGAAGTCTTTTGTTACATTTGCATGGAAAAACCTCCTGGTGTACTTGCAGTATTTCTCCTGTCAATCAGTAGCTCTAGCCTTTGGATGCTCTTTTAAGCAAGGTATCTGTTTTCAAAGGAGGAGATGGAAATATTGCTTGTCTGAGTGGATCAAAGTACTTCATAATAAAGGTAGTTTTAATTCAACAAGATGCAGGAATTTATCATGGAGCACAGTGTTTTCTTCTGTCCTGACTCCTTGTCAGGAAATTTAATAGCCCAGACCTTCAGAGTTCGTGACCTACTCCGTGAAGGCAAAGTAGAGGCTGGGCAGTAAGAAGTGATCACTTGCTAAATGCGGCGCGGTGTTGCATATGTCTACTCACTGGCCATGTAATGATAGGTGACAGGATTTGGAAAAGTAAACTGTCTGGGCTCAGTTTATAACATGTATTCCAGCTTCCCTCTTGTTTATTAATTTTTTTTCATAGCTCTTTCTTGTAGCACATGTGCTGAAACTCTGCTCATTTTTGAAGAATGGGCATAAAGAAATGACTACGAAGTTAGAAAAATGTTTCAAGTAGTGGTTGTCTTCATTGAGCTACATCGGATATTTGAGTCTAATCATATGTAGGAATGCAAAATATTCTGCAGCATATTTTCATTTTGTCACATTTTGAATATCTTCTTCCTCTTGCAGATTGAGGAAAGTAGAATGGAAATAACTCTCTTGATGAGCTACTCAGTTTTAACAGAGACTTGAGCAAGTCAGCCACACAGAACTGGATGGCAGGGAACACTGAAAAAATTATTCTTAACAATCCCTTGTAAGACAAAAAGAGTGATGGAAGGGAGCGTCTGTCTCCTGCTGGATGCTTTATATGTTCAGAAATTTACTTTGCCAGCTTGCTTTTTCCATTCCTGCAAGTGTTATCCTAGGATTCATAAATAAGAAACAAACCAGTTTACATGGTAAATGTAAAGAAGAAGGAAGAAAATATCTAGGTCGATCTTTGGTGACATGTGTTTATATGACACAGTTCAAAGCTTCAAAAGAATTCCATGAGATATTTGACTATGTAAATATTTGTCAGTTGCCAGATTTGAAAATGGGGAAAATGCAATGGGTCAAATCCTGAAATATTAACATAGTTCTTTTAAACCAGCTCCAACTGGGAAAACTTCAACTTGACCATAAATGGATTGGAATATCTTATTGTTTTGAATCTCATTTCCTGTCCTGTGTGCTTTTCACAAATCCTAAAAATGTTGCTTAAAACCCACGTGTTTTCTGTGGAATGATTTCTACTGAATTACATTAAGTTTTTGAGGGGAAAAAATACCCCATACCAGTTTTGTGATGAAGCTGTAATTAGCATAAAGCAATAATCTTCAAAGACATTCATGGCTGGATAGGGATAATGCTAACCAAACAGGTAGGTATGATGCTGGTTAAATTAGTTTGCTGGTTAAAGAAAGAAGGGATATGTGTATGAAGAGAAACCATACCACATGCGTACCGCTGTAGGCTTCCGAGTTGCTAGCTCGTGTTTTCTCAAATGTCTGCATCTAATACAGTACCGGGGACAGCTTTCTGCTGCTCTGAATAGGGCTGGGGAAAGGAGACTGACTGCGCCATCGGACATGTCCTCGGCAAAGCTTCCCTGGCTGTAACACATGGCACAAGGACCAGCCATGACCTGGATTCAAACCCCATGGAAGTTAGATCCCTCGCCTACCCTTCACCCTGCCCCACTTTATGCATGTCTGAAACTGGATGGTGGACAGCTGAAGTGTGATACAGTTCTTCCCAACAACTTTAATAGGTTTTGGATCCAGTCTGATGAGATTTTAATGAACACTTTAAACTTTGTTGTTGCCAAATCACAGAATCATTAGAGGTTGGAAAAGACCTTCAAGATCATCAAGTCCAACCATCAACCCGACACCACCATGCCCACTAAATCATGTCCTGAAGTGCCACGTCCACATGTTTTTTTAACACTTCCAGAGAAGGTGACTCCACCACCTCCCTGGGCAGCCTGTTCCAATGCCTGACCACTCTCTCTGTAAAGACATTTATCCTAATATCTAATCTAAACCAGCTATGTTACGGATTGCAAAGGCAACTCCCCGGTCAAGTTTTCATTGGCATTTTTACTTCTCAGTTGAAGATGACTATCTCTGTGAGTAAGGTAGTACTCACTACAAATAGGGAGGTCAGCATTCTGAAGTTTTATAGCAGACACCCTTTCTTTCTAAAGAAAGAAAACTACAAAATTAGATTATAGTGCCACAATCTCAGGAAAAAGAATTTAGCAAATAAAAAGGAAAACCAAAACTGCTTAAATGAAGAACAATAACTTATAATTCTTATTAAATTTTTTCTTCATGTTTCAGGAATATCTAAAAATGCTGATGCTCGACAGATATCTAACAATAGCAAGAGGTATTTAGATTTAATGTGACTATCTCTCTCTGAAAACAGGTGGTGCTTCTGTCATGGCAGCTTCTGGGTCTTTCAAAGTATATAGAGGGCACAGTCTCCAAGGTGGTAAGTGTAAGTGGTTATGAGGTATGTGTGTGCATGTAAATTTAAATTAACTTAAATTATTTTAAACTTCAGAAAATGTTAAAGGTAATAAATGACTTGATTCCCTATTGTAAGACTTATGTATTTCTTTGGGTTTTTTGCTCTGCGGGGTTTTTGTTAGAAAGGCATTGACAGATGGGATAAGTTTAGAAGAGGCAGTGACAGATAAGTGTCAGAGCATAGGCAGTAATCTTATTCACAGCAGTAAAATGCTGCCAGCACTTTAACAAAGAGCACCCACCAAAAAAACCCTGCCTCAGGCCATGAGAAATCCTGTACCCTAGCAATTATGTGATGGGGAAAAAAAACCCCACCACATTTAAAGATACCTCTTCATAATAATGGATGAAAACAACAACAACATCAACAGATAGAATTTTGCGTGTTTGTCATTCAAAATTAATCCCAATATGTTTGTTCTATGGGCATAGCCTTTTAGCTTGCCTGGTTTGAACTTGGATGGAGTCTGAGATTATGAAGGAACCTGGGCATCTTTTTCCAGCTTAGTGCTCTGGAAGCATGGGTGATGTTATGCAACCTGTCTTCTTGCAAAGATGATTACTTGCACTTGGAAAGCAAAGTTATCATTCGAAGGGCTAGTTTAAGCATTTTCTACAGAGCTTTGTCAGAAATCAAGAAGTTATCATGTTGGAGGTGGAATTTTAACAAGAGTCTTCCAGATGCTCCCAAGTTCACCCACGTACTTCTCCCTGATTCATGCATTCAACACAGCTTTGCTCCCCCATCGACGTACAGCAAAGCACACGGTTGACTTCAGTGGCCTTCAGTGGCCTAACATTTACTTGCTTGCTGTTGCACTCATTAGAAAATGCTGGCATCACCACTAGAGAGAAGTCAACACTAGCCAGTGTTTATACTTTCTGAGATTTTTCATTGTGATTATTCAGATCAGAAGGTTACAAGTTAAAACCAGAAAGTATATGGTTTGTTTTCATTGTGCAAATTCCTAAATCCAAAGCTGTTGATGGTGTTCCTATATTCTAGGTCCTAAAGGTGGTTATGAGATGCTGACACTTCTTCCAGAACCGGGAACTCCTACTAGCCCTGAGGAACCTGGTGAGTAAAGATCTTTGCAGACAGTTGCATTAGAGGACATGAACATTTCCTGTTTCTTTTTCCATTTGCTTTTTTGTTGTGATCTTTTCTAAATGTTTATTTTTGAGGTGGTGCCCTTTGAACATGTCAGCTTTACATGCATGCCCACACACACATAGAGTTATCTCGGGGCTGTGTTTATGGTGCTCGTTTTCTTTATGCGTTATTTATTGCACATTTTTGAGAATGGTGCCCACATAGGGTAGAAAATATGAGTAACTCACACTTGTTGAAAGAAAGGCTAACACACCAGTTTCAAATATAATTTTCTTCTTCCCTCCCCAATTATACTATCTTTAACTTTCTTTTCCCCCTCATTTCAGTGCCACTACATTTTCTCTTTTCTGTTATTTGCTTTTTTACTTCCTACCTTTTCTCTTCAAGCAATCATGATATTGTACCAATTCTTTCAGAATGTTGTAACCATGTGTTTTGGTCTGTTTTTCTCTGAAAGTCTCCTTCAATAATGATCTCAGATACTGGTCTTCTGACCTCTCTTGTAAGCATCTTCTACCTCTGTCCACCCAGATGGACTGATGAATGCCCTGTCTTTGTCCATGGCGCTCTGTGTGTGTCTTGTTTTCTTAGTAGGAGTTTTTGACTGTCTTGTGCTTTTCAAATAAACCTTTCTCTTCAAACAAATATAAGCCAGTTTTTAGCATCTAATGTTTTTTTTAATTATTATTATTTGAAGAAAAAATGAAAAGCCAAGTATTTCTATGTTTACAAAGAAAGCTCAGTTTCTATTATGACAGTAGAGACTGGACAACAGAATACTTTTCCTTTCCTTCCATTCCAGTTTGCCCAGCTTTGTTCTTGATTTGTTGTTTTTTTTTTTCCTTGAGTAGAGTATTTGATTTTTGTCAGGGGTTTCTTTGTTCCGTGTGTTTCTTTTGCTTTTCTTGTACAAAGCCTTACCAATTGATATATTTTTCTGAACGTGCAGTTTTTTTGCAGTTTTTTATTTCTCAGGAAAATCACTTGACATTCAGCTTCCTGAAACCTTTCAGCTATTTCACTCTACAGAGAAGTTTTCATGCTAGCTAGCTTTGAGGACACTTCACTTAAACTCCTGTTACATCACTTTAATGCTGTATTAGAAAGATTTCAAAAAATACCTTTTCCTTCATGACTGTTCATGACTCTGTATCTTAAGATTGTCATTTGTTTACAACTTTAACTATTTGGGATGCAGGTTTTCAATGTTATGGTTCTGCTGAATCTCTTTTGGCACAATCAGGCCAAATTCCTTTGAAATACTTTAGACACAATAATTGAGAATAATTTCTGAGAATGATGTTTGATATAGATACCGAAATTTCTTCTGTGTGATTTTTTTTTCCTTTTCATTTTGTTCCTGACATCTGGCTTTGGAACAATAACTTGAAGTCTGACCCTCAGAAAAATGTTTGGTTACTTCGTGGATGTTCCTATGTTTTCTGTATGAAAAACTGTCAGAAAATTGGCCAACCTTCCAGGCTTTTAAAATTTTGGACTGCATAGTAGACTCCTTTGACTTAAATAGCTTAATCCTGGAGAGATTCCATTATCCTGAAACCTGCTGTAGCCTCTGACAATTCTTACTGTTGCCTGACTTTGTATGAACTATCTCTGCTATTCATAATACAGTCCAAAAAGAAGTTCCCCTTAATGCTGTTGGTTGAATATAAGAAGTTATTCTTTCCTGGGCTCTAAAAAGCCTTGATCACCTACTGCCTCTCATCAGTGTCTGAATGGGCAGAAACGAACAGCAGTGATTTGGACAAATGAAGTTTTGGTATGAGTTTTATGTGGGGACATGGAAAAGCTTAATGGGAGGACTTCAGGGAACAGGAGAACCTGAAAGTGATACCATTTTTCCTCTGCACTCTTTTGTCCCAAGGTGACTTAACAGCAGAAGGTGCTTAAGGGTAAGAACTCCGACTGGACTGGACAGGCAGGTGATGACTAGCCTGCTGAGTAGGACAATGAGAATGTGACTCAAAGCCTTGCCCAAGCACAGAGGGAATACAGGTTTCTGTTTGGGTCCCCTGTAGCCCAGGTTATTCTGGGAAGTCTCTTGGTATTCATGGATTGGGAAACTAGATGTAGGTGCCTGGTGTTAGTTAAGGGGTTGAAGGCTGAAATGCCTGGTTGGCCACTGAATGGAACCTTCTAGCTTCTCTCTTGGGTTCATTTCTGATAAGATTAGAATAACTGAAAATAGGGCTAGAAGAGGTCTTGAGAATTCATCCAGATGACAAAAAAAGTGTCTTTAAGTCAAAATCACTTTATAGAAAACTGTTTCCTAGTAGGTGTTAGTCTATCTCTTTTTTTAGAAATTTCTAGATGCAGAAATTCTACAGCCTCTGTGGGTTTTCCTCTAGCGTTCTTGTGATCTTTTACTATTAGAAAGGTTTTCCCACTGTCTAACCTTCTACATTTGTCCTGCAATTGAAGTCTTTTATTACTTGGTCTGTCCCCAGTTGGCATCATTCCTGTCTTTTTCATCTCAGTACAGGGAAGCTGTCAACATTGTCTCCTCAAGCTTGTCTTCCCCTTGCTTTAAAAAATTCTTCGGTCCCTATTTTTGGGACATACTTTCTGAACTTCCAGTGATTTTGGTTGCTGTCTTTTGGATGATATAATAGTCCATGTCTCCCTAGAACAGATTTCTTCCTATAAGGCTTTATAACGCTTTACTAACCTGAGTTAGAGCTGAAAGTCTTGCGAGATAGTGCTGCATACATTCTGTTTGAAAATTTCTGCATAGGGTTTGCTTTCTGTCACCACATAGTGAGATCACTGGCTGTGGTCTGTGATCAGATCCTGACTTGGCCAGTCTCTGAGGATCTTTTCTGTAGAAATCTTAGTCTTCTCATGTCCCATCTATGATTGATGAATGTACTGTTTGGCAAGCTGAGTTGTTGCTGCTGAATGTTTGCTTTCAGAACTCTTAACGGATCATTGTGTTTTTATGAAAAGCATCATTGGTCACTGCGAAGTGTCTATAGTAACATGTTACTTATTTTAGAAGGGGCAGTAGGTTATTCAGCTGATGTGCCTATATCAGATCGACCCCACAGTGAGACAGCCACCTATGTTAATATTCCTGTCAGCCCTACTTCCAAAAAACAACTTCATTACATGGAACTGGAACTTCAAGAACCTAGCACAAGCATAAGAGGTAAGGAAGTCTACTATACTGTTTAAACAGCAAAGGAAACAGTAATGCATGCTGTATTGGGAATCTTAATTTCACATCTACACATAGGCTCTTGCTAACAGAGGAGTTGAACCCCGCTATGTTTGTGAGGCAGTCCTTGTAATTGCCAACTCTTTTGGAAAAGATTTTTAAGTAATGAGATTCTATAAGATGTTGCATCCCTCTGACAGGTGCATTGTATATGCACTCCCTCTAAAGCGAACATTTCTGTGTCTGTGGAGTTTGACAGACAGTAATTTGCTTCGTGTTCTCAAGATTTTCATCTCGCATGTTAAGACTACAGTTACTTAATTTTTCTTGCTTGGCTTCAGGACTGGGGGTGTAGGTTTACAGGGCTTGCTCCTGAAGATACTGACTCTGGAGCCACGCAGCAAATGCTTAAGAACAGAACACAGCGTTCTTCTGTCTGCTCTCCGTGAGGGTGTGTGAGGGTGCTGCAGAGAGTAAGCCAGCCCAAGTATTTGATTTTTTTTTTTTTTTTAAATTCGTTTGTTTGGATCTGGGTATTTTACTTCAGATGCTTAACTTGGACAATTAGCACAAACACATGCATCATAGCTACCAGGTATTGTCATTTAGAGATGCATTCCTCTTTAACATAAAGCCCCTAATCAGGATCTGGCATTTAATTGCTCACATTTGGTATTGATGGGTTTTCCATATATAGTTTTCAGCTATTGAGATTTTAATTTTTATACTTTTAATTTCAGCAAGTTTATTAATTTTGAAATGCTAGCACTTTTCCCATTGTGGTTCTTTTTTTTATGTTTATATGGCTCTAGTTAAGTAATTCTAAGCTTCTCCCACACTTTAATGTAGTTCTCTGTACAACACCCTGTTGAGACATAAACCTGATGTTCTGTCTTCATTTTAAAGACAGTGAGCCAAGGCATTAAGAACAAAGGGCCGAATTCCAGCAACTGATATAAACTTTCCTAAGTGTCAACCACCAACCTATGCTCAACTTGTAAAACTTTGAAGGTGCCTCTACTGACCATAAATATTTTATTTTTTCATACTAAAGTTTTCCCAGCCTCCAGAGTTGTACGTCTGCATCCTTACAGAACTGTTCTGCTCCTGAACAGACCGAGCAGCTTTTATCTCTCTTATTGCCAATAATTGGACTAAATTATCATTCTGTCTAAAGCTGAAGGTGGTTGATCTGGTAAATGTTCACAGAGTACCCAATCCGGACAAAGAAGAATCCCTGCCAACTGCTCTACCGATGATGTTTTCTTTTCAAATACCAGATGTTGTTCATTTACCGACTAGAAGCCCGCTGATGAAACCTCCCAGAAGTGGGAGAGCTGAGTTCAGTTTTGTCTTCTGGGGGGAGTGGGAGTGGAGATTCAAACCTGGGGCAGAAATATAAGTGGTTCATTTGCTTATTTGAAGAAAACCAGATAGCTAAAATATGTAGATAACAAAGCTTTTGAGTTTGTTTTTAGTTGTGATTATCATCTTGCTCCCTTTATAGAGCTTGCTTTAAGACCAAACCAAGATCACCTAGGAAATCTGTGGAAGAAGTGTCTCAATAGCTCAACCCTGGGTCACTTTCACCCATGAATATATGAGGGGTATAGTCTTTTACATAATTTCATTTGGTATTTCAGGGAGTGGATCGTCCCGATATGCACAGATTGACATTGCAGCCACCGAGACAGCCCACAAAGTGGGAACGCAGCATGCTCAGTGCCGGGAGGAACGCTTGCAGGAGCTAGAGCAGAAGAAGAAAGGGCCTCAGCAGTGACCTGTCTAGGAAAGAACTTTTTGCTCACCATAAATTGGTACTAGTTTATCTTCCGAAAGATTCACACATATTATAAAAAATACTCATAAAAAAGCTGGCATTGCTTATTGCATTTATACCAGATTCATTCCAATATCTTGATTCCTAATTGGAAAGCCGGTAGCATGAGGGGGGTGTGTGGTCTTTCTTTTTATTTTAATTTGGTTGTAAAGTCCAGAATTTTTTTTTTTCATATGCAACGACAGATGTAAGTTACTTTTTTCTACAATTCTGAAGTCCTGGAAGAAACCTGGAACCAATTCCAGTGTTTATTAAATGGTGGCATTTTCTTTAAAAATAAAGAACTTGAATGTGTGCAGATAAGGGAATGTGAGTGTGTGTGTGTGTGGTATGTGTACACATATGTTTGCATGTGTGCATATGTATGTATGTAAGCACACATTACTAATAAAATATATGTATATATTTGAGAGTATAAAATGTGTAAAACCTCTATTAATGTATTAATGGCTCTTACAAAAGCAAGAAAATTCAGTGCCTGATTTTTTGCAGGCATAGTTTTGTGCAACTTACATGCTTATTTATGGGCATGCTTAACTTTACCGATGAGTAAATCAGTTTTATACATCACCAAGAGTTCTGTAGCTTTGGCTAAAGGCTAAAGTTGCTCAGATTTAAAAGCTGCAGTGTCACAGACACATATGTATATGCATACAGGCAAGAGCACACACAAACAAGTTATTTAATTTAAGTATGCCTATAAACCAAAATAATTTGAAGGGACATTTTAGGTGCTTCTGTTCTTAAAAACCCTGTTTTAGACACTATAAGCTTTGATTTCATAGTTGTTGAGTACCTGTAATTCTTAGCAATTTTCCTGGAATTGAACACACATATCATGTTGAAAATCAAGTTTCAGGTTTCTCATACAGAATATCTTAAAATCAGGGTACTCAAAAGAAACATTAACTTTTGAAAATTGAGACCTTTATTTATGTCTCCAAAACCATGCCTAATGTAAACTGGCATCAACATTGGAATATCCGCCTTGAGGCTAAAACTTTCTCTGAATAATTCTCTGCTGTCCCTAAATAGCACAAAACCAGTTCTGTGTAAGAGCGTGATGTCTTCAGCGATGCTACAGAAGTGAGGCACAACAGGATGTTCTACTGTAATATAGGTTTGTCCACAAGTCTTTCACATCTTGCTTTTGTACAGTGAGACGGTACGATTCAAAACTTGGCTTAGTTTCTGGTGTTGCATCGTCTGTAATTCTTCTATTCTACATATTTGTGCTGATGCAAAGTGCTATTTAAATAAAATGTTAATGGCAGTGACACTGCACTAACAAAGCAGTGTACTTATGGAAAACATCAAAATTTTGGCCTGCAACAACATAATAGCTTTGGCTTCCAGAAGTTATCCAGGTTGATATCTCTGGTATCATGATTTTTTGACTGTGTCCTCTTAAGACAAAATATCACAGCCCAATTCTGTTTTTCAGATATGCATTATAATTCCTATTGCTGAGTGAACGTTTTGTGCCAGTGAGGGTTTCACTAAGTGTTTGGAAGGAGAGGTGGGTGTTTGGTTTTGAGGCAGAATTTAGCTTATAAATTTATTTGAATGTAACTTCAACGGCCATGTAAATCTCTCAAATTAAAAAAAAAAAATCTATTTCAGAGTTGACAATGGTCATTGTCATCTGTCCCGTGCTAGGATGTACTTTTCTGCTTACTAGTCTAGCATGTTTCTGAAGGGAAAAGAAGTATTTCTTATGAGATTCCCAGTTTAAAAGATTTTTCTTATTTGGCAGATGGACAGCGGTGAACTGCTTTGTAAACATATATTTACTGCAACCGGAATGGCCTGGACTTACAGCTCCTTGGGACCAGGTTTATCTAACTGAACTGTTGTTCAATTCAGGATCCTGCACGGGAGGACTTGCAGGGTTAAATCTCTTGCTATGTGCCTATTTATATTTAATATTTAAAGTGAGCATAGCTTGCCAGGCGCACTGAACTGCAATGTTTTCCATCATGATATATAATGAATATTTCTATTGTAAAAATCTATTTACCAGCAAAATATATTACCCAGGTTCTCTACAAAGACCGCCTTTCTGTACACTGCTCAAAATTGCTTGCATTGAATCCTGGCCTTGCAGTACGGGTAAAGATTTGACACAGTAGTAAAGGTCTTCATATTGCTGCTGGTCTTACAGGAAGAGTCAGAATTTTAAAAATACGTTTTTCAGGTTGAACAGGGCTGTGTATCTGTGCATACACGTTGTTCTCTGTGCACCTGTATTTCTGTATGCCGTAGTAACTTCGGCTAGGATTAGCTAGATGGCTGGATATAAATTTGTACTTACAGCCTTTGTTAATGACAACATAATTTGTGGCAAGCCTTAGAGGATAATTAAGTATTTTACTTTTTAGCTTTCTGTTTCTCTTTTTTTTCTTCACTTGAATAGGACAAATAGAACAGACAACTTTCATTTATCTTTTAAATTAACTTCATACTCTCACGCACTAAATTATGTTTAGGATGCTGAAGCAGGAGGCCAAGCCGTACTGTTGCATCTCTTAAAACCTCGTTGGTTGTTGTTTTTGTAGGACCTCCTAGGCCTCCCCATCAAGTTATAGGCTTGACATTTCTGTTGAAGAAACTAAAATTTTCTCATTTGAACAACAGGACCTCACAGAAATGTAAAACCTTTTTTCTGAGTAAATAAAATAATGTACCTTCAAATTCCAGTAGCAAACTGGGGAAAATGGAAACAAACCCATAATCCCATGATCAGGCTTGCACTCACCATGTGGCTTCCATGGGTTAACTCTAGTACTGCTGTTAATGTGCAAATAGGGTTTATTCACACGCCTTGCATAAAACTTGTGCATAAGTGATCCAAAATACAGTTTGTGGTTGCTATAGGATGATTCCAGATTCAGAACTCTTTGCAAAAAACCCAGAAGTTCTCCCACGCCTTTGGAGATAAATGTGACTCGTAACTTCTGCTGATAAAAACGCAGGCTTTGCTCATTTTTAATTTAACATTCTACCAGAGTCAGATCTCCTGCCCTTACCAGGAGTATGAAGAATTAAGTACCAGAAGAACAAAACAATGTGATGTGGCTGGTGATATTTCTGTAAGATGTTCTTGAAGTACTTTAACGCGGCAGAAGTGCCAGTTTGGGAGCAGAGCTCTCCGTGACACGAAAACCTGCCGCCAGCCAGCGCAGTGTTCGGGCATAACCCTTAGCGTGTTGTGTCCGTACCTCTTTCTTTCTGACAGTCCTGCTCAGGTTACCACCAAAAGTAACTGCTGCTTCGGTGGGTTTTATGGTGCTGTTCGTAAGCTGTTATGGAACATTTTTATATGCAAGTATTTGGGTGATGGAATTTCTCCAGGTTGACATGTGCTGCAGGATGGAGGGCTGGAGTTTGGAGACATTTCATTGCCCAACAATGCAAATAGTTGTCTGGGTTTTGATAGCAGTCTGGCACCTAATCGTGGAAAATGCCAGGAGGTGTCTTTAGGCATCTAAATGTGTGTGCAAGTCTGCCCCAAGAGTTGTTTTTAGCAAATAGCTTGGAAAAATCCCTCATTTTCCTCTCTGCTGTAAACAAAACAGTTTTAATTAGTGTAGCTTGGAAAACTACTCAAATTTGAATTATGAGTGATTACTTTTTTTTTTTTTATGAGATGCTGAAACATGCACCCTTCGGTAAGTACCTTTTCTAGTTTGTCTGAGATAACACACATATTATTGCTAAAATGACCACAGGAAGATGACACAGAATTCTATGGGTTACTGGCTGGTCATTTCTGTTAAAATCAGGAATTTTTTTCAGATGACAGTGCTGTTATATTTTTGTGTCGCCTTTTATCTGGGAAGCTCCTCAGCTCTCATTCGGCCAATCATACAAACGTTATTTTGCAAAAGAGGTTGAAAGGAAATGCTAATTTAACATCATACAGGAATAAGAACAAAGCAAACAGAGTAAGGATGGAAGAATTAGAAGTTATTAAAGGGAAATTTGTAAGGAGTAGCTCTGCAAACACGTCTTTTGAGTGTAGGTGAGTAGCATTAAAGAAAAGTGCAACTTTTAAAGAATTTGGATGGGTTCTGATGAGTTCAGTTTTATGCTCTCCCTGACCAGCAATATTGACTGAATGTTCACAAGTCCATGGGGCCTGATGGGATTCATCCCAGAGTACTGAAGGAGCTAGCAGATATTACAGCAGAACCCATCTTGATCATCTGCCAAAGGTCTTGGGAGTCTGGGGAGGTCCCCACTGACCGGGAAGCTAGCCAGTCTAAATCCAATCCACAAAAAGGGCATGAGGGAAGACCCAGAGAACTACAGACCTGTTAGTCTAACCTCGGTACCTGGAAAAATAATGGAGAAGATCATACTGAATAGGACTGAAAGGCATTTAAAGGACAGTGCAGTCATCATCAGGCACAGTCAACATGGGTTCAGGAAGAAAAAAACCCGCTTAACCAATACAATATCCTTCTACAATAAGGTCACCTGCCTCGTGGATGAAGGGAAGGCGGTGGATGTA